CGAACAAAAGAAAGGAACCCTATGATTATCTCTATGGATGCCGAAGAAGCATTTGATAAAATCCAAAATCCTTTCTTGATGACAACCCTAGAGAAGATTAGAATAGAAGGGAAATTCCTTGATGAGGAGCATGTGTGAAAAGCTCATGTTATGCTTAGTGAAGAAAAAAGGGGGCTCTCCCCTTAAAATTGGGAGCAAGGAAGACAAGGGTGTCCACTCTCATCACCTTTTTTATGTTGCATTAGAAGGCCTATCCAGAGCAACAAGGCAACCCAAAGAAATAGCAAGATTTGAATATTGTGGAAAAGAAGTAAAATTACCTTGATTCATGGGTGATATAATCCTATATAGAGAAAAGTCCCACCATTCACAAGAAAATTTCTAGAACGAATAGAGGAATGTATCCAAGTTGAAAAACTGCCACTTTTGCCTTAAGACCAGAAGAAACAGATGGTGCCTGACTACAAAGACTGTGCATACTGTCCAACCAGTCTTCTCGGGGTAGGAACAGAGGTGACCATCAAGGGAGCATCAAACATTTCTCTTCCCTGGAGTAGGTCTGGGACCGCAAGGCTGTACCCTAGAGCTATTCCGTTTGGCCTCTGAGACCACTAAACTCACGTTGGGTGGGGACTGGAGTCCTATCGCTTAAAAGCCTGATAGCCCTCCCTACAAGAGCCAGTTTCTCTGTAACAATTTCATGGGCATAGCTTATGGGCTTCCTTCAAAGGGCCGTGTGCATTTTATATGAGTCGTTGCACTCAGGGTCACCAGAGCTCAGCTTGTTAGCAAGTATTTCTTGTCCTACTCTGATGCAACTTACCAAGAAGGGGTCATTTTTATCATAAGGCATCTTGCCTGACTATACATTTTTGCATTCTTCCCTTATCAGGTTTCCAGGGAAACAGCTAGCAAGTGAACCAAAGGTCAGCTTCTCATGCACAAGGGAAGGTTGTGCCCATAAAATGTGCACCCTGCAACTTGGCAGTTGCTAAGGAATGACATTAATGTTTCAATCCAGACTTAGCTGTGGGGTTTGGGGGGTGGGGGGTGAGAGAGAGAGAGAGAGAATATCTCCCAAACTCTATTTCCTTTCCTACTGAGCATGCAATCAACCGCATTTTCCCGAAAGTCTTGCAGGTAACTGTGGATTTATGACTAAATTCTAACAATGAACTATAGGCAGTTGTGATACACATCACTTTCAGCACTGGCCCATAAAATTACCTAGAAACCTCGTCTTTTCTCTCTTTTGTTTGCTTTCAAGATACAAAGCTGTCAGCGTAGCATCCTTCTGGCCCAGGTAATGGCAGGGCCAACAGAAGCCAAGCACTTGGCGCTCTGGAAAACTGCGGCGCACGGCCCCTGCTGCCGTTGCACTGACATGGGAGAAGAAAGTGCCCTGCACGCCAAGGAAAGAACCAGTTTGTGTGAGGTTCTAGTTCTCCTTCCTCCCCTCCACAAATGAGCGTTAGAAGGTTTCATTCAGAAACGATAAGCTCTAGAGTTTTCCCTTGGTCATGTCAAGGCCAACGACATGACCAGTTTCCCATGGGCTCTTTTGAGCATGTGAGAAAACTTTGATCAGGGCCCCAGAGACGTGATCATCTGTCTGTCTTATCCTCGGTCACCTTCCCGGTGGCCCTTCGCTGAGAGGCAGGTAGCAAGGGCTGAATAGAAAATGCCAGGCCGTCACGGGGCTCTCCCCTGACAGGCTGTTACCAAAGCACTTTCATTCCGATCAGATTTTAGTGACATAATTGGGGCACAAACAATCCAAACTAAGTGGATGAAGGCAAAGGGCCAAAGGTTCACATCATTAACACTCTAATTGGAAAATTTACAAAATGCTTTTGCAAAGAAGTCCTGAGACACACACTCCTTGATGGCTGAGGAAATCGTTTCCAAATAAACTCTCTCGGAATCCATTGCCATCGGCTCGCGTCTGACTCGTGCTGGACAGAAACCCTGTGGATTTCTGAGACGGCACAGCTTTACAGGAGTAGGAAGCCGCACCTCTCTCCCGCCAGGCAGCTGATAGGTTTAAAACACTGCTGACTTCTCCGGCAGCAGACGTGTCTTTACACCTGCAGGGCCCCTCTTTCCCAACAAAACGAAAAACAGAAAGCCACTGCTAGCAAGTCGATTCTGGCTCAGGGCCACCCTATAGAGCACGGTAGAACTGCCCCAGTGGTCTTTCAAGACTGAGCCCTGGTAGTGCAGTGGTTGCATCTTGGGCTGTGATCTACATGGTCGGCAGTTCAAAGCCACCAGCCGCTCCTCAGGAGAAAGACAGGGATTTCTGCTTCCATAAACAGTTACAATCCCGGAAACCCACAGGGGGTCACTATGAGTCAACATTGACTCAATGGCAGTGAGTTTAGTTTTTTGTTGGATACTCTTTAAGGGAGTGCAAAGCCCCATCTTTCTCCTGTGCAGCAGCTGATGGTTTTGAACTGCTGACCTTGTGGATCCCAGCCCAATCTGTTACCACCTTGGCACTAGTACTCCCTTTCCCAAGCAGTGCTCTTTAAATACATGGTGTCTTAGTGGGTCTGTGCTTGGCTGCTTCAATAAAGAATTTAGAGGGTGGTTTTTGCATTTTGTTTTCTATACAAACCTATCACCTTCCCTTTAAATTAATACCATGTATTTTTTTAAATAACATACCCCCAAAACAATGAGCCCGCATACATGTAATTTTCACAAATATACATTATTTTGCACAATTTTTATTCATATGATTGAGCTATTAAATTGTATGTTATGTGACTTATCTATCAATGAAACAACTTTATTTAAAATATGGTACTAATATTAGGATGTTTTTGGTCACAAGTAAAAATAGAAAAAGATTACAAGCTGGCTAAGTCAGGAAAAGTAATTTATGGGATCATATGCTGTAAAACTTATGAGGAAATAAAGTGGCAAGGGCCAGTGTTGGGGTGATGCTGGCAGGGATGGGAGGGCTGTGGAGCTGAGAGGCAATCGTTTCATACTCTCACAGCTCTCTGTGTTGTTCTTGTTAGATGCCAACCGGTCCGTTTTTGACTCATAGTGAAATTATCTCGTATGGGCCATTTTGAGTCTAACAATAGTATGTTCTTGGTGTTACTGTTAGGTACCATCAAGCTGGTTCTGACGCATGACCACAGGGTGAAACACTGCCCAGTCCCGTGTCACCCTCACAATTGTTCCTTATGTTCGAGCCTATTGTTGCAAACACTGTGTCAATACATCTTGTTGAGGGCCTGCCTGCCTTCTTTCTTTCTTTCCTTTTGTTTTTTGCTGCTCCTTGTCTTGACGGAGCATGAAGTCCTTCTCCAGGGAGGAGTCTCTCCTGGCAGCCTGTCCAAAGTGCGGGAGACCAAGTCTTGCCATCCTTGTCTCTAAGGATCATTCTAAGGTTCTTTTTTCTTTCTTATTTTTTGATGCTTGAGTTTTCCAGTGTCTTGGGAAAACACACAGTATCGTGGCAGGTGGGAGCTGCGCTGGGCTTCCTGCTGCTGGATGAAGGGGTTGGGGCAGATCGGCAGCACGACTTGCCCCGCACACCACCAGGCCCTACTGCCGCGTGTCCTCCAGCACGAGGTCAAACCCTCTCAGGATTCCGCTGGCTTCGCCTCTGCCCTGGAACTTCACCGGGATGGTCTTGTCACTGTCCTTGGACAGGTCCAAGAGGCTCTCCTCCTCCTCTTCCTTCTCTTTGTCCGCCATCTGGCCGCGCTGCGCTATTCTTCATCTGCACCACAATTCATGAATCATTCTCCTTCAGTCTTCCCTACTCAATGTGCAGTGCATACGAGGCAATGGAAAATACCATGGCTTGAGTCAGGCGGACCTCAGTTCTCAAAGTAACCTCCTTACTTTTCAGCACTCTTACGAGGTCTCCTGCAGCAGATGCACCTAATGCAATCATAATGGAATGACATATTGGAGACGAAGGACCTTGTAATCGTTGTCAAAAAAGAGCATTTCAAGATCGATCGATCTCAAAGTACAGTGCTGTATGTGATAGAATAATGAATGTATTTGCCTACAAGGAAGTTCTGTCCATACAACTATTCAGATCTAAAGACCAATCACTAACGGTAGAGATGAAGAAACTAAAGAGTTTTACCAACTTCTTCAGTCTGAAGTTGATCAAACATGCAATCTAGTTGCACGGATAATGGATGGCGAATGGAAGGGTAGAAACAGAGAGGAAAGATCAGCAGTGGGAGAACCTGGCTTTGCCGACAGGTCTCATTTGCATATACAAGCCTATCTGTACAACACGTTCCTAGAAGGAGAATTGCGAGGTCAAATGCATTTGTAGTATTAATGGACATTCCCCCAGTACTGTCTGCATTGGTGGAACCATCAACACCTCCACCAGTGGGGCAGGAGAGCGCCTGCTTCCCCCAGGCCACATCAAAAGAATGGGTTTCCTCACGCTTGGATTTTTGTCAGCCTGGTAAATCAAATCAATCTCGGTATATACCATTATTTGGAATTTGTTTTATTATGAGGTGGATCCATAGGTTTGAATTAAGTTTTTTTAATTCTGGTCTTACCACTGTTCGAGTTCAGTGCTCCACCTTTCTTGTGCACATAGTCATGAGATCTCTGACTCCCAAACACCGAAGGGGAGGGGGGGGGGGCTTCAACTGGGCAGTCACAACTTCTCCCTGCATCTGAGGCTCAAAAACTGTTCTAGCTACATTCTAGCCGAACCAGTATGTCTGCTTTCTGTGGTTTGTGCCTTACTTTTTCAAATAAATTCAGTAAGAAAATTGCGATTGAAATGAAGGGAAAATAAGAGTAAGAACTGACAGTAGGGGAAACAAGAGAAGGGAGAGATGAGGTTGGTACGCTTGCTGAAGGCAGGTCACCAATGGCAAAGTGAGGGCAAAGGCACAGCAGACTTCTAGATAGCTACGTCTCGACAGAGTTCTGTGGGACCTGGTTTGTCTGGAACCATACACAATCATCAGGTGCCCTGGTGGCACAGTGGCTAAATGCTCCAGGTAAGTTCTAACCATAAGGTCAGTGGTTCGAGCCTACCAGCCATTCTAGTGGAGAAAGATATAGTGATCTCCGTCTGTCAAGATCTGTGCCTTAGAAACCCTGTGGTGTGGTTCTACTCTGTCCTATACAGTCACTGAGAGTTGGGATTGATTTGATGGGCAAGGGTTTGCTTTGGGGTTTTTATAATAAATAAGAAGGGAGTAAGTTGAGGGGAGCCCTTCAAGTTCCAGGTTCATAGGGGTCTAGTAGAAACAGCAGCAGCAAGGAGGATTAGGATGAATGTAGTCTAGCTGATGGCAAAGAAGGCAGAGGAAGAACTGGGTAGGCAGCAGAACCAAAGTTGGGGAAACATTCAGAAAGCTCAGTACTCAGACAGGTCCAAAAAGCCCATTGCCGATTCATAGTGACCCTATAGGACAAGGTAGAACTGCCCTTGTGGGGGTCCCAAGACTGTAACAGTTTATGGGAGTAGAAAAGCCTTTCTACTAGTTTCAAACAGCCAAACTTGTGGATCACAGCCCAGTGCATAATCACTAAGCCACCAGGGCTCTGGTCAGAAAGGCAGCTTCTTCTAAATCTAACCTCATTATATGGTTACTCCAATGACAGAAATGAAAGCGTTTATCACCATGTGTCAAACTGCAATATTGAATGATGCAGAAAGTATCAAAAGAATGTGGAAGGAGCACACAGAGTCACTGTATAAAATAGAACCGGTTGACATTGAACCATTTCCAGAGGGAGCATCTGGTCAGGAATTGATTATACTGAATGAAGAAACCCAGGCTGCCCTGAAGGCATTAGTGGAAAACACGCTTCAGGAACTTATGGAATACTAACTGAAAGTCTTCAAAAAACTGATGGCGCACTAGAAGGACCCACTAGCCTTTGCCAAGAAATGTTGGAAGACTTGACCAACCTATTGGATAGATCTGTACGAGGGGAACCCAAAATAAAACCCGGGATTGTGTTGGGCAAAGCGGAGATTTTGTAGTATGCGTTTTTCCCAAGTAGGTGAGCATCAAGCAACTCAATCTGAGTTAGTGCACCCAGTAGCATCACCCAGGAAGGCTCTCTCTGGTAATAGTGGATTTTTTTATAAAAGCAGTTTCACTCAAACCTCCTTTTTTGTGATGGCCAATTTAGGAGAACAGCATGCAGCAGTTAAATTTTGTTTCCTGCTTGGGAAACAAATGCCAACGAAACTGTTGTGATGTTGAACACAGCTTACAAGGACAACGCTATGGGAAAAACTCAAGTGTACAAGTGGTTTTCTCATTTCAAAAAAGATGAAATATCAATTGATGACAAATCTCATTCTGGACATCTGTCAACTTACCAAATGGATGAAAATGTTTACTCATAGTTCATTTGGAGTTCATTCCACCAGGTCAGACTGTTAATCAAGCTTTCTGTTTAGAGGCTCTGAAAAGATTGAATAACAGTGTGCAACAAAAAAGGCCTGATTTGTGGCAGACGGGGCACTGATTTTGCCACCATGATAATGCACCTGCTCACACAGCCATCTCAGTATGCAAAAAACAGCATGCCTCTCTTGCCAAACATACCTTACTCACCTGACCTTGCTCCGTGTGACTTCTTTCTGTTTCCGTGAATGCAGAGGGACATGAAAGGACAGTGACCTGACAATGTAGCAGAGGTGAAGGAAAACAAGGGATGTGCTGTCAGCCATCCGAACAGATGAGTTTGAAAAATGTTTCCAAGAATGGAATTGCAGATTTGACAAATGTATTAAGTATACTCAAGAGTACTTTGAAGGTGCTAAAGTTGTTTTGTAATAAAAAAAAATTAAATACATAGCTTTGAAAAACTTTTCAAAAAATTTTTTTTGGTTTTCTTAAAGGGTACCCCCTCATTATATGTGCACATTCTAAAGAAGGTGGCCCAACAAAATGAAAAATGATTGAAAAATATTAATATCACATGCAAATAAAATTTTGCTGAATATAATTCAAAGATGGCTATACCAATCTATCAGCAGGGAGCTACTAGAAATCCAAGCCAGATTCAGAGGTACTGTGGCTGAAAGGCGTCACTGTGTTTTCCTGACTTTGTCAGAGCATTTGACTGTGTGGGTCATAAACAAGTCTGGATACCATTGCCAAGAATGGGAATGCCAGCACCCTTCCTTGTGCTCCTGCAGGACCTGTGCATAAACAAAGAGGGTGCCATCCAACATAACAAGGAGATACTGTGCCGCATAACATCCGGAAAGTTACATAGCCGGCTGTACCCCTTCACTGTCCTTATTCCATCTGTATGCTGAGCCACTGCGCTGAGTCAAAACAAGCTTGTCTGGCTGCCTTTGATGCGGAGAAAGCTGTTCTCTCTGTAGACAAACCAAACAGGCCCTTTTACTGACAACACCATGTTTTCTCTTCCCAGGCCTCTTATAAGCCGTTGCTGAAGCAGATTGTGGAAGAAATATTTAACCCTGAGAAGCCAGATCCCATTGATATTGAACACATGTCTTCAGGCCTCACTGATCTCCTTAAAACTGGAATTAGCATGTTCATGAAGGTAAAGTACCCAGGCAGAGGCAATCTTGTGTGAGTGTTCTCCTCACTGGGCATGAAAATGCTGGCATACTATTAACCAGTATTTGGCTGCTTCTAAAATTGGTCCAATCTTTCTTTAACTCTTGCTGGAATGATAACTATAAGCAGTCTTTGTCTTTTCAGTCTCACACGGCTTCTTCTAACCATGGGCATTCTTCTTAGAAACCAGGATTGTGAGAATTCATTATATGTGCTTAAGACATGCGTGGTACAGTAGGGTCTGGGCGAATAACAAGAGGGCCTCTTTGAGATGGGTTGACACAGTGTCTGCCACAGAAAACATTCAACACAGCACTGAGTGTGAAGCTGATGCCGGGCTGGGCAGTGTTTGTTCTGTTGTCTGTCTAGGTGCATGTGTCTTGGTTCTGTAAGTCAGAACCAAGTCCCCAACACCTCCAGCCACACACGAGATTACAGGCTGGCCTCCCAGCCTGTGCCAGGATTGCCCTTGTCATTACTCTTGGAAACAGAGGTGGATGACGCAACAAGCAAGGTAAGCACCAGCCGACTGGTGGTGACTTACTGGTCCGTAGTGTAGTTTCTCACGGGAAAAACACTTGAAAATAACTGTTCCCAACAGATTGTAAGAAAGCGCAAGTAAGCCCATGGTTCCCTTGTTTTGGGGGTACTGCATCCCGGTCAGGAATTGCACATTTGAAAAGAGGCCTTCGTGTTCAACAGAAAGCATTGGAAGGGGCTGTAGAGTTGGGGGAGAGAGAAATGGTAGCCATCACTAGAAACAGAATTTTTGACATGGCGGAGAAAATGCGAAACTGTTCACTGCAGATTAGTGAACACAAATAAGCCTGTGCTGACCTTTCTTATTGGATCATATGACACTGCCTGGAAATAACAAAATGCTTTGACCCGAGTCAAAGCATCTTTGAAATATGACTCACTCTACCCAGGTCCAGCCCTTCATGTTCAAGGCATGCAGAGTCCAGAGTTCCGCTCCACTCGGAAAGCCGCCTGACGGATGCCAGGCAGTCAGATTGAACCACGCAGCAAAATGACGGGGCTGACACGCAGGTCTGCTTCCTGCCGCTGCCAACTGTCCTCCGCTCCTAGGGCAGCCGATGGCTGGTGCATCGCCCTCTCTTCCCCCCACTGTCATGGTTAATGAAGCCACTCGGGTCAGCTTTGTAGGGGCTCCTGTATTGAACATCCTTCTGGCCCCGGTTTGTGGCTCCCCTCACTGGTGGTGAGTCTGTGTGGAAATGTCCATCCACGGTTTGGGACCCGCTCACCTTGTCTTTCATTCACCAGTTTGAATGTACACCTGAGGCAAGACTAAAACGACAAGTCTGGGCCCGCCCCTGTCCTTTACTGTTGCTTTCACCAAGGGAGCAAGTGGCAGGCCAACTCGCCTGCCCATCACAGGACAGGGCTATCTTGGGTGGTAAAGGGGAGGGTTTATGGAAGCGAGGAAGCCCTCCGTGAGATGGATGGGCACAGTGACTGTAACCAGGAACGTCCGCATACCAGCCATCATAAAGCTGGCGCAGGACCCAGCAGCATGCTGTCCTGTCAGACATCAGGTCAGCGTGAGCTGACTCAGTGGTTATCTGCCGTCAGCAACTAAGCAGGGAGGACACAGGAAGCCCACCTTGCCCAAAGAAGTTCCCACAAAAAACTGTTCCTTAGGAAGAGGCGCCTGTGATCAAAGAGGTGGAGACAGCACTGGTTCACTGCTTCTTTGCAGTTGATAAGCCAATGACCTCTGCCCTGCCCTCTGCAGCCGAGACAGGATGCTGCCTTATGGGAGGACTAACATTTGCAGCTCATCAGTTTCCAAACATGAGACAATACATTTTAAAATTACCCTTTTGAACATTTCTTCCTCCAAAGGAGCACCATTCTCCTCCCTTGGGCTCTGCCTCAGAAGCCATTTGGAACCGTCTCCAGCAGCACTGAGGAGCCCGGGCCACTGTGGGTGGGGTGTTGAGGCTGTCTGCGCCCATCAAGATTTGCTGTCTCAAACCGTGTGCAAATAAGTTAACTGGATTCGGACCCGCTAAACAGCCGTGTGTTTGGGGTGCTTCTCTTTACTCAGAGTGCTGGATTACTCTGTAAGCAAGGTAAGCACGGGCTTACTTGGACTTACTTACTAATCTCTAGTGAAGAGTTGCACATTTTTTTACGCTCCCAACCCCACCCACCCCCATCTATGATTCTGCTTCTAGGAAGGGCTGGCAGCTCTCTCTCCCAAGCCCACAGCACCTTCGTACAGAACCCAAGCTTCTTTTCAAACGTACAATCTCTGACAGGGACAGAGCTTAACCACTCACTGCAAGGTCAGCCGTTCAAACCCACTAGCCACACAGCCCGAGACCGATGTGGCAAGAAAGGTCTGGCAGTCAGCTTCGATAATGATTTGTGCCCTTGGCAACCCTATGGGGCTGGTTTACTTTGTCTTGTGGGGTCCCAGTGAGTCAGAATTGACCCAGTGGCAGTGAGTGTGGCCAGGAACAGCGTGCCCTGAAGCCAGGGAAACACGAGTTTACTTCCTAACCTGTAACCTCCCCACATCTGGTGACCCCGTGTGAAATGATTCACTCCAGATTCGTAGAGAAGCACACGTAAACCTGTGCTTCCCTGGCTTGGTGGGCACTCCTCCCTGGGAGAGGCTGGGCGACGTCGCCGCAGACAAGGGTTGCAGCTCCCTTTCAGGAAGCACAACATCTTCAAGTGCCTGCTTCCACGTCTCCTGCCTGCAGCAGAACTCTAGCCATTTCACATGAGCTAAGGAAGCAGCGCCCATCAGTCATCTCCAGTGACCCTCAAAGGAGGCCCTGACCCTCCTCTCCAGCAGCCGCTGAGCTAAGCCTGCTGGCCTTTGTCCCATCATCACGTGTCCCCAGAGAGCAGAGTCCCCTGCTCCTACCTCACCCACCGGGCATTGCCGAGCCTAGGTGGAGATGGAAGGCTCCGAGCCGAGGCCAGAGAATCTGGCCATCCCTTCTGCTCTCCACACCCACAGCCTGGCAGTCTGCCTCGAACAATGGCTCTGTCTCTGGAGAACACAACAGAAGCGAGCGGGCTGCTTTTGTAGCTTGAGAGATGAAAGGAGACAAGAGGAGAATGAGTGGAACCCTGGGAAGCTGGAGGGGGGCGGGGGGTGAGAGTCTCTTTTCCATTTAGCATTTTCACTGTTTCCTTTGGGTTGGAAAATAATCAAAGGCAGTCCCTTCTTGCCAGTCTTCCGTGCTGGCATCCAGCGTGTGCTGAAGGGATCACACTCTCTCTGGGCTGTTCTCCGGAGGTATTTACACAACGCGGGACATAGAGACCTGTGGCGAAGAATGCACGCTGGAAGACCTGGCTGAGAAACTGAGCTCCACGGACCTACTAGCAGTCTGCGGCCTTGGGAAAGACCCCTAGTGGCGCAGTGAGTTACGCATTGAGCTGCTAACCACAAGATCAACGGTACAAAACCAGTCGATCCTCAAGAGAAAGGTGAGGCTTTCTGCTCCTGTCAAGATCCCGTCAAGATTCCGTCTCGGAATACCCCCAGGGCCAGTTCTGCTCCGTCCTATAGGGTTGTTGAGTGTGAATCAACTGGATGCTGTGAGTTTGCAGTTTGGCGGCATGGGCACACTATGCACTCTCTCTGTGCCCCAATTCCTCATCTGTAAAATGGAGATAATGCAGGCACCAAAGAACAAAAATATCATATCATTGTGAATGAGGGGGAGTGCGGAGTGGGGACCCAAAGCCCACCTGTAGACAGCTGGACACCCCCTTACGGAACGGTCGCAAGGAGGAGAAGAGCCAGTCAGGGTGCAGTGTAGCAACGATGAAACATACAACTTTCCTCTAGTTCCTAAATACTTCCTCCTGCCCCACTATCATGACCCCAATTCTACCTTACAAGTCTGGCTAAACCAGGGGATGTACACTGGTACAGATAGGAACTGAAAACACAGGGAATCCAGGAGAGATGATCCCTTCAGGACCAGTGGTGAGAGTGGCGATATCGGGAGGGTGGGATACAGAGGGGGAACCAATTATAAGGATCTACATATAACCTCCCTGGAGGACGGACAACAGAAAAGTGTGTGAAGGGAGACATCGGACAGTGTAAGATATGACAAAATAATAATTTATAAATTTCAAGGGTTCATGAGGGAGTGGGGAGCGGGGAAGGATGGGGGAAAATGAGGAGCTGATGCCAGGGGCTTCCCTGGAGAGCAAATGTGTTGAGAATGATGAGGGTAACAAATGTACAAATGTGCTTGATACAATTGAAGTATGTAAGGATTGTGATAGGAGTTGTATGAGCCCCCAATAAATTGATTTTTTTAAATGGGGATAATGACTGTCCCTGCTTGACAGGGCCAGATTAAATTAGCAAACACATAAAGCACTCAGAGCCAATGCTCCGGAAGTGCATGCTCACAGTGAGTTCTCGGCCCCATTTGCTCTTCTGTTTTTAGGGGTTTGTATTCCCTGGTGGCATAATGGACTGATGACAAGGCCAGCAGTTAGAAACCACCAGCTGCTCCAAGGGAGAAAAATAAGGCTTTCTACTCTCCTAATGAGTTAAAACCCGCAGGGGCAGTTCTACTGTGTCCCGTGGGGCCACTCTGAGTCAGAATCAACTCAAGATTTGAGTGAGTCCCCTGGCAGACAGTGATGCTGAGGAATGGCTGCCTCTTGCATGTTCAGATCACCACACAGAGCAGCGCTCAATGTTTGGAGCACTCGGCCCAACTGCCTGGTAAATAAACCAGACACCACCCACCTCCCAACTAAGGCAGCCCCACGGCCTCTCTCTGTAACTTTGGATTTGCTCTTGCTCCAGAAACATGGCTGCTGGCTCTTCTGATGAACCTGAGAGAAGCCATGTTCATTGGCCATGATGTGTTTCCCAGGCCCCCTTCTTCCTCTCCACTGTGAGCTCCAACGGTTAACCCCCTTGGTTTGGGGTGGGGGGTGGGCATAGATTATCTCCTGGGTCCA